CTAACACCCCAGTAACTGAGCCACTAACACCCAGTAACTGAGCCACTAACACCCCAGTAACTGAGCCACTAACACCACAGTAACTGAGCCACTAACACCACAGTAAAATGAGCCACTAAACCCCAGTAACTGAGCCACTAACACCCCAGTAACTGAGCCACTAACACCCCAGTAACTGAGCCACTAACACCCAGTAACTGAGCCACTAACACCCAGTACTAGCCACTAACACCCCAGTAAGGCCTAACACCCAGTAACTGGCCACTAACACCCCAGTAACTGAACCACTAACACCACAGTAACTGAGCCACTAACACCCCAGTAAAATGAGCCACTAACACCCAGTAACTGAGCCAACTAACACCACAGTAACTGAGCCACTAACACCCAGTTAACTGAAGCCACTAACACCCCAGTAACTGAGCCACTAACACCCCAGTAACTGAGCCACTAACACCCCAGTAACTGAGCCACTAACACCCAGTAACTGAGCCACTAACACCCCAGTAACTGAGCCACTAACACCCCAGTAACTGAGCCACTAAACCCAGTAACTGAGCCACTAACACCCCAGTAACTGAGCCACTAACACCCCAGTAACTGAGCCACTAACACCCCAGTAACTGAGCCACTAACACCCCAGTAACTGAGCCACTAACACCCAGTAACTGAGCCACTAACACCACAGTAACTGAGCCACTAACACCACCAGTAACTGAGCCACTAACACCCCAGTAACTGAGCCACTAAAACCCACAGTAACTGAGCCACTAACACCCCAGTAACTGAGCCACTAACACCCCAGTAACTGAGCCACTAAAACCCCAGTAACTGAGCCACTAACACCCCAGTAACTGAGCCACTAACACCACAGTAAACTGAGCCACTAACACCTACAGTAACTGAGCCACTACACCCCAGTAACTGAGCCACTAACACCCAGTAACTGAGCCACTAACACCCCAGTAACTGAGCCACTAAAACCCCAGTACTGAGCCACTAACACCCCAGTAAAACTAAGCCACTAAAACACCCCAGTAACTGAGCCACTAACACCACCAGTAACTGAGCCACTAACACCCCAGTAACTGAGCCACTAACACCCAGTAACTGAGCCAACTAACACCTCAGTAACTGAGCCACTAACACCCCAGTAACTGAGCCACTAACACCCCAGTAACTGAGCCACTAACACCCAGTAACTGAGCCACTAACACCCCAGTAACTAGCCACTAACACCCCAGTAACTGAGCCACTAACACCCCAGTAACTGAGCCACTAACACCCCAGTAACTGAGCCACTAACACTCCAGTAACTGAGCCACTAACACCACAGTAACTGAGCCACTAACACCCAGTTAACTGAGCCACTAACACCCCAGTAACTGAGCCACTAACACCCAGTAACTGAGCCACTAACACCCAGTAACTGAGCCACTAACACCACAGTAACTGAGCCACTAACACCCCAGTAACTGAGCCACTAACACCCCAGTTAACTGAGCCACTAACACCCCAGTAACTGAGCCACTAACACCCAGTAACTGAGCCACTAACACCCAGTAACTGAGCCACTAACAACCCAGTAAAATGAGCCACTAACACCCCAGTAACTGAGCCACTAACACCCCAGTAAACTGAGCCACTAACACCCCAGTAACTGAGCCACTAACACCCCAGTAACTGAGCCACTAACACCCCAGTAACTGAGCCACTAACACCCCAGTAACTGAGCCACTAACACCCCAGTAACTGAGCCACTAACACCCAGTAACTGAGCCACTAACACCCCAGTAACTGAGCCACTAACACCCCAGTAACTGAGCCACTAACACCCCAGTAACTGAGCCACTAACACTCCAGTAACTGAGCCACTAACACCCCAGTAACTGAGCCACTAACACCCCAGTAACTGAGCCACTAACACCCCAGTAACTGAGCCACTAACACCCCAGTAACTGAGCCACTAACACCCCAGTAACTGAGCCACTAACACCCAGTAACTGAGCCACTAACACCCCAGTAACTGAGCCACTATACACCACCAGTAACTGAGCCACTAACACCCCAGTAACTGAGCCACTAACACCCCAGTAACTGAGCCACTAATCACCCCAGTAACTGAAGCCACTAACACCCCAGTAACTGAACCACTAACACCCCAGTAACTGAGCCACTAACACCCAGTAACTGAGCCACTAACACCCCAGTAACTGAGCCACTAACACCCCAGTAACTGAGCCACTAACACCCCAGTAACTGAGCCACTAACACCCCAGTAACTGAGCCACTAACACCCCAGTAACTGAGCCACTAACACCCCAGTAACTGAGCCACTAACACCCCAGTAACTGAGCCACTAACACCCCAGTACTAGCATTAACACCCAGTAACTGAGCACTAACACCCCAGTAACTGAGCCACTAACACCACAGTAACTGAGCCACTAAAACCCAGTAACTGAAGCCACTAACACCCAGTAACTGAGCCACTAACACCCCAGTAACTGACCACTAACACCCCAGTAAAATGAGCCACTAAACACCCAGTAACTGAGCCACTAAAAACCCCAGTAAACTGAGCCACTAACACCCCAGTAACTGAGACACTAACACCCCAGTAACTGAGCCACTAACACCCAGTAACTGAGCCACTAACACCCAGTAACTGAGCCACTAACACCCCAGTAACTGAGCCACTAACACCCCAGTAACTGAGCCACTAAACACCACAGTAACTGAGCCACTAAAAACCCCAGTAACTGAGCCACTAACACCCAGTAACTGAGCCACTAACACCCAGTAACTGAGCCACTAACACCCAGTAACTGAGCCACTAACACCCCAGTAACTGAGCCACTAACACCCCAGTAACTGAACCACTAACACCCCAGTAACTGAGCCACTAACACCCCAGTAACTGAGCCACTAACACCCCAGTAACTGAGCCACTAACACCCAGTAACTGAGCACTAACAACCCCAGTAACTGAAGCCACTAACACCCCAGTAACTGAGCCACTAACACCCCAGTAACTGAGCCACTAAAAACCCCAGTAACTGAGCCACTAACACCCAGTAACTGAGCCACTAACACCCCAGTAACTGAGCCACTAACACCCCAGTAACTGAGCCACTAACACCCCAGTAACTGAGCCACTAACACCCCAGTAACTGAGCCACTAACACCCCAGTAACTGAGCCCCTAACCCCAGTAACTGAGCCACTAACACCACAGTAACTGAGCCACTAACACCCCAGTAACTGAGCCACTAACACCCCAGTAACTGAGCCACTAACACCACAGTAACTGAGCCACTAACACCCCAGTAACTGAGCCCCTTACACCCCAGTAACTGAGCCACTAACACCCCAGTAACTGAGCCACTAACACCCCAGTAACTGAACCACTAACACCCCAGTAACTGAGCCACTACACCCCAGTAACTGAGCCACTAACACCCCAGTAACTGAGCCACTAACACCCCAGTAACTGAGCCACTAACACCCCAGTAACTGAGCCACTAACACCCCAGTAACTGAGCCACTAACACCCCAGTAACTGAGCCACTAACACCCCAGTAACTGAGCCACTAACACCACAGTAACTGAGCCACTAACACCACAGTAACTGAGCCACTAACACCACAGCATCTGAGCCACTAACACCACAGTAACTGAGCCACTAACACCTCAGTAACTGAGCCACTAACACCACAGTAACTGAGCCACTAACACCACAGTAACTGAGCCACTAACACCCCCCAGTAACTGAGCCACTAACACCCCAGTAACTGAGCCACTAACACCACAGTAACGGATCCACTAACACCACAGTAACTGAGCCACTAACACCTCAGTAACTGAACCACTAACACCACAGTAACTGATCCACTAATACCCTTGTAACTGATCCACTAACACCACAGTAACTGATCCACTAACACCCTAGTAACTGATCCACTAACACCACAGTAACTGAGCCACTAACACCACAGTAACTGAGCCACTAACACCACAGTAACTGATCCACTAACACCACAGTAACTGAGCCACTATCACCACAGTAACTGAGCCACTAACACCACAGTAACTGATCCACTAACACCCTAGTAAGTGATCCACTAACACCACAGTAACTGATCCACTAACACCCTAGTAACTGATCCACTAACACCACAGTAACTGAGCCACTAACACCACAGTAACTGAGCCACTAACACCACAGTAACTGATCCACTAACACCACAGTAACTGAGCCACTATCACCACAGTAACTGAGCCACTAACACCACAGTAACTGATCCACTAACACCCTAGTAAGTGATCCACTAACACCACAGTAACTGATCCACTAACACCCTAGTAACTGATCCACTAATACCACAGTAACTGATCCACTAACACCACAGTAACTGATCCACTAACACCACAGTAACTGAGTCCCTAACACCACAGTAACTGATCCACTAACACCACAGTAACTGATTCACTAACTCCACAGTAACTGATCCACTAACACCACAGTAACTGATCCACTAATACCACAGTAACTGATCCACTAACACCACAGTAACTGATCCACTAACACCACAGTAACTGATTCACTAACTCCACAGTAACTGATTCATTAACTCCACAGTAACTGATCCACTAACACCACAGTAACTGATCCACTAACACCACAGTAACTGATTCACTAACTGCACAGTAACTGATCCACTAACACCACAGCAACTGAGCCACTAACACCACAGTAACTGAGCCACTAACACCACAGTAACTGATCCACTAACACCACAGTAACTGATCCACTAACACCACAGTAACTGATCCACTAACACCACAGTAACTGATCCACTAACACCACAGTAACTGATCCACTAACACCACAGTAACTGATCCACTAATACCACAGTAACTGATCCACTAACACCCCAGTAACTGAGCCACTAACACCCCTGTAACTGATCCACTAACACCACTCACTATCCACCAGCAGATGCACCTAGCACAGTTACTGTGAAGGGTCCTCGTGTGATGACTGATGACCAACACTTAACGCTGACCTGCTTCACCAACCCCGCCAAGCCTCCAGCAGCTATCACCTGGCTCATACAAGGTATACACTTCTCTCTCTACTCTTTCTCTCTCTTATTATTGATTATGTTTTACTAACTTGGTGTTCACTCTTCACTGTCACTCTACCTTGATAAGAGACGCATATGTATGATTCACTCTGCCTTGACAACAGACGCACATGCATGATTCACTCTGCCTTGACAACAGACGCACATGCATGATTCTTCTCTGGCAGTTTAATTTAACACTATAAATAAGTTCAATCTAGATTTTAGCACCATATTTCCTGGAACACTTTTCGATACTTTGTTTAAATAATTAGTTGTGACAGAGAAAGAGCAGATTCTTTGCACTGTTTGTACACCTAATCACAAAACCAATTATGTTAGTAATAGGCAATAAAAAGACACATGTATTAGGTTTATGAATATTTAGTAGTTCTGGGGATTTTTCTGGAGAACCGTGTGCATCGCGCGTGTAACTACAGTGCAGGTAGATAAATGGTTCAGAGAACCGATAACTTGATAAATTAGTCACGTGTACAACATTTGGGTAATATTACCGTGGTAACGTTTCCGCATACAGTGGCTTCATCAGTTCACAAAGAACAGTGAACATCAGGAGTTTGAGGTAATCAGTCCCTCAGCCTGGAGTCGATGTAATCAATCCCTCAGCTTGAAGTCGATTTAATCTGTCCCTCAGCCTGGAGTCGATTTAATCAGTCCCTCAGCCTGGAGTCGATGTGATCAATCCCTCAGCCTGAAGTCGATTTAATCAGTCCCTCAGCCTGGAGTCGATTTAATCAGTTCCTCAGCCTGGAGTCGACGTGATCAATCCCTCAGCCTGAAGTCGATTTAATCAGTCCCTCAGCCTGGAGTCGATGTAATCAATCCCTCAGCCTGAAGTCGATTTAATCAGTCCCTCAGCCTGGAGTCGATGTGATCAATCCCTCAGCCTGAAGTCGATTTAATCAGTCCCTCAGCCTGGAGTCGATGTGGTCAATCCCTCAGCCTGAAGTCGATTTAATCAGTCCCTCAGCCTGGAGTCGATTTAATCAGTTCCTCAGCCTGAAGTCGATTTAATCAGTTCCTCAGCCTGGAGTCGATGTAATCAATCCCTCAGCCTGAAGTCGATTCAATCAGTCCCTCAGCCTGGAGTCGATGTAATCAATCCCTCAGCCTGAAGTCGATTTAATCAGTCCCTCAGCCTGGAGTCGATGTGATCAATCCCTCAGCCTGAAGTCGATTTAATCAGTCCCTCAGCCTGGAGTCGATTTAATCAGTTCCTCAGCCTGAAGTCGATTTAATCAGTTCCTCAGCCTGGAGTCGATGTAATCAATCCCTCAGCCTGAAGTCGATTCAATCAGTCCCTCAGCCTGGAGTCGATGTAATCAATCCCTCAGCCTGAAGTCGATTTAATCAGTCCCTCAGCCTGGAGTCGATGTAATCAGTCCCTCAGCCTGGAGTCGATGTAATCAGTCCCTCAGCCTGGAGTCGATGTAATCAGTCCCTCAGCCTGGAGTCGATGTAATCAGTCCCTCAGCCTGGAGTCGATGTAATCAGTCCCTCAGCCTGGAGTCGATGTAATCAGTCCCTCAGCCTGAAGTCGATTTAATCAGTCCCTCAGCCTGTAGTCGATGTAATCAGTCCCTCAGCCTGGAGTCGATGTAATCAGTCCCTCAGCCTGGAGTCGATGTAATCAGTCCCTCAGCCTGGAGTCGATGTAATCAATCCCTCAGCCTGGAGTCGATGTAATCAATCCCTCAACCTGAAGTCGATTTAATCAGTCCCTCAGCCTGGAGTCGATGTAATCAATCCCTCAGCCTGAAGTCGATTTAATCAGTTCCTCAGCCTGGAGTCGATGTAATCAATCCCTCAGCCTGAAGTCGATTTAATCAGTTCCTCAGCCTGGAGTCGATGTAATCAATCCCTCAGCCTGAAGTCGATTTAATCAGTTCCTCAGCCTGGAGTCGATGTAATCAATCCCTCAGCCTGAAGTCGATTTAATCAGTTCCTCAGCCTGGAGTCGATGTAATCAATCCCTCAGCCTGAAGTCGATTTAATCAGTTCCTCAGCCTGGAGTCGATGTAATCAGTCCCTCAGTCTTGACAAGATTACAATACCTACTACTTCACATTAAGTGTTTTCTGACACATCCTTTACATTAGCCGTCAACAAGATCAAGTATGAAGATTGAGACACTTATGCAACATAAGGGAATCTTTATTGAGGAAACGTTGTCCAACCTTTGTACGAAGACCTACTTCGACTAGTGGATGGTACCACTATGACCCCACTTGCTCCTGCTTCGCCTCATCTGACTACAGTATATAAGCCACGTCTACGGTCCTATGCTGTACATTCTACAAGATTGATGGACTGAACACATCGACTCCAGGCTGAGGGACTGATTACCTCAAACTCCTCCTCTCCTTACACCTTTCTGATTTGTATTGGACTGATGAAGCCACTATGTGGCGATACGTTTCCTCATATGTTGCATAAGTGTCTCAATCTTCAACTTGTTGGTTTTCTAACCATTTACAACATCAAGTATCCACCTGACTCAAAGGAACAAATTAATTCCTGTACATTTCCTTAGGTCAGGCAAGCCTTCCAGGTTGAATAAATGATCTCAATGTTCAGCTCATATTTCTTCTTGGTTGTTCAGTGACATTAAGGGGAGGACAGGTCCACTGTAACTGTGATATTGTTCCCGTGAGTGCAATACTGTAAGGTCGATATTCTGATGCTCTTGTTGTTCCTACAGTCCAGGAGAGTGAGGAGAAACAGCGACGTTAGACGCACGATTTTGTTTGTTATGCCTCTTCTGCCATAGCTATGCCCAGATTTATATTTTGCCACTGAAGTAGCTAGTTTATTGTCCATACCATCTCCATCCTGTGGACGGTAGTGCATATTCTGCTACCGTCCTCAGGATGGATATGGGATGCGCTGTAAACTAGCCACTTCATTAGCATAATTTTAGTCTGGGCATAGAAATGCTTTCTTTATTAATACTCTTATGTTTTACAGTAAGAAAATCTGGTATTTCTTCTTCCTTTTCCAGTTTTCTTTGTCTCTCCAGAGAGTGACCTGGAAGTTAAGAAACTTCTGTTGGTTGTGGTTTGGTAGGTGAGAAATTATGCGAGTCTTTCCCAGGTGGAGGTGCAGTGGTTGATCACCACCACAGGTGGAGGTGCAGTGGTTGATCACCACCACAGGTGGAGGTGCAGTGGTTGATCACCACCACATGAGGTGCAGTGGTTGATCACACCAAGGGGAGGTGCAGTGTTGATCACCACCACAGGTGGAGGTGCAGTGGTTGATCACCACCACAGGTGGAGGTGCAGTGGTTGATCACCACCACAGGTGGAGGTGCAGTGGTTGATCACCACCACACGTGGAGGTGCAGTGGTTGATCACCACCACAGGTGGAGGTGCAGTGGTTGATCACCACCACAGGTGGAGGTGCAGTGGTTGATCACTACCACAGGTGGAGGTGCAGTGGTTGATCACCACCACAGGTGGAGGTGCAGTGGTTGATCACTACCAAAAGGTGGAGGTTGCAGTGGTTGATCACCACCACAGGTGGAGGTGCAGTGGTTGATCACTACCACAGGTGGAGGTGCAGTGGTTGATCACCACCACAGGTGGAGGTGCAGGGGTTTTGATCACTACCACAGGTGGAGGTGCAGTGGTTGATCACCACCACAGGTGGAGGTGCAGTGGTTGATCACCACCACAGGTGGAGGTGCAGTGGTTGATCACCACCACAGGTGGAGGTGCAGTGGTTGATCACCACCACAGGTGGAGGTGCAGTGGTTGATCACCACCACAGGTCGAGGTGCAGTGGTTGATCACCACACAGGTGGAGGTTGCAGTGGTTGATCACTACCACAGGTGGAAGTGCAGTGGTTGATCACCACCACAGGTGGAGGTGCAGTGGTTGATCACTACCACAGGAGGAGGTGCAGTGGTTGATCACCACCACAGGTGGAGGTGCAGTGGTTGATCACCACACAGGTGGAGGTGCAGTGGTGATCACCACCACAGGTGGAGGTGCAGTGGTTGATCACCACCACAGGTGGAGGTGCAGTGGTTGATCACCACCACAGGTGGAGGTGCAGTGGTTGATCACCACCACAGGTGGAGGTGCAGTGGTTGATCACTACCACAGGTGGAGGTGCAGTGGTTGATCACCACCACAGGTGGAGGTGCAGTGGTTGATCACCACCACAGGTGGAGGTGCAGTGGTTGATCACCACCACAGGTGGAGGTGCAGTGGTAAATCACCACCACGGGTGGAGGTGCAGTGGTTGTCACCACCACAGGGGGAGGTGCAGTGGTTGATCACTACCAAGGTGAGGTGCAGTGGTTGATCACCACCACAGGTGGAGGTGCAGTGGTTGATCACTACCACAGGTGGAGGTGCAGTGGTTGATCACTACCACAGGTGGAGGTGCAGTGGTTGATCACTACCACAGGTGGAGGTGCAGTGGTTGATCACCACCACAGGTGGAGGTGCAGTGGTTGATCACCACCACAGGTGGAGGTGCAGTGGTTGATCACTACCACAGGTGGAGGTGCAGTGGTTGATCACCACCACAGGTGGAGGTGCAGTGGTTGATCACCACCACAGGTGGAGGTGCAGTGGTTGATCACCACCACAGGTCGAGGTGCAGTGGTTGATCACCACCACAGGTGGAGGTGCAGTGGTTGATCACTACCACAGGTGGAAGTGCAGTGGTTGATCACCACCACAGGTGGAGGTGCAGTGGTTGATCACTACCACAGGAGGAGGTGCAGTGGTTGATCACCACCACAGGTGGAGGTGCAGTGGTTGATCACTACCACAGGTGGAGGTGCAGTGGTTAATCACCACCACAGGTAGAGGTGCAGTGGTTGATCACCACCACAGGTGGAGGTGCAGTGGTTGATCACCACAGGTGGAGGTGCAGTGGTTGATCACCACCACAGGTGGAGGTGCAGTGGTTGATCACCACCACAGGTGGAGGTGCAGTGGTTGATCACCACCACA